CCGAGCTCTGGAAGCGCTTCCACGAGATCGGCACCGAGATGATCATCACCAAGGCGGGAAGGTAACGGGAACCCCGCGGGGCCGCCGCCCGGGCTCTCCCGGGGCCAGGCGGGCACAGGACGGAGGGCAAAACACGGGGGGACACCCCACACCCCACACCCCCAAATTTACGAGGCAGGTAGATGGCGATCGTTTTAAGTGGGCGCGGGAGGATGTGGCGTTTGGGGCTTCCTGCTCGTGAGGGCGAGGTCTGGGAGCACCGTGGGTCCTTCTGAGCGAGGGGAGACTTTTTCCCCCTTTCCAGTGGAGACACGTGGTGAAAACCTGGGTAGTATAAAAGTATCTGAACTTATTAGAAATTACAAAAACATATTTTATTGAACCCATATGCTACCTTCTATGTTTTCAGAGAGGCTTTACTAATGATTGAAACGCAGTCTTAAACAGCACAAAGCAACATTTGTCTTGAGAGAGTCCAGTTGGGGAATTTCTGTTTTATCTTACAGGTGCACTGAAATAACAGCGAAAACTAGTTAACCACAGTCAGGTTTACCCTCCTGCTTATTCAGAAATAACGGAGATAGGATTTTTCTTTCCAGTAACGACTTTTAATTGATTTTTTTATATGTGTATATATGTATATATTTTTTTAAGAACAGCAGCAAACGCTGAATAAACTGGAATGGCTTTCAGGTTTATAAAATGCAGAAAAGTACCTTTCATTAGCTTGCAGCCAGCTTGTCACTAGGACATTTCTTTGTTGGTTTTTTTTTTGGCTTCAAGAATGAACTTTCTTGATGAAAGGCATGCCAAACGTGAGCTAAGAATGCATTTTTATGTTAAAACCGCTGCGTCGGTTAATTACCCCGTTTTCTCCACGCAAGGATCCAAGTCGTGAACTTTTGGTTTTTGTTGGGAGTTTTTTTGAGTGGCTTTTTTTTTTTTTGAGAAATTGCCTCGTAGATTCGTTTCTGCTTTCAATAAAGAAGTTTTACTATACCTTTCAAAGACGGAGTAGCTCTTGCACTTCACCTTTAGTAAGTTGCAGACAGGAAGTCCCGTCTCAATAAAGACCATATTGTTGGGTTACAGCATGGCACGTTGGCTTTTATAACTGCATCCTTGCGGTGTTATAATTGTATCACCGTGGATTTAGCTTTCGAATTTGCTGCTACAGAACTGATACACCGTTTAGCTGCTGTCAGTTGAAACTTCAGTGGCATTTTGCATTTCTGTAAGTATTGCTCTGCCTGCGTGGAGGTGGTGTTTGCGCACCTCCAGAAATAGATTTCTAGCTAATATCTCAAACGGGCTTTAAATGCGCATACTGCTGAAGTAAAGTCTCAAAACCAAATGATTTACTGTCTAACAATAAAGTTGAAATGATGTGGTAATAGCTGTACTCCCAAAGCGTATCCCAAAACATACGAAGCATTGTTCGAGTAAATGCACTTTAGAAATCTGTTTTGACATATCGAATGGGCCATTTCATGGCTATGTAACTATAATCGTCCAAAAGGACTCTGTAGGCTAAAAGGAAGAACGAGAAAAATCCCACGAACCCGTTACTTTTCCTAAACAACCGTTCCGGAGTCTGTTTCATATTAAACATGACCTCTCTCTTTCCATGTTCAGGCGGATGTTTCCCGCAATGAGAGTGAAGATCTCAGGTTTAGACCCACATCAGCAGTATTATATTGCTATGGATATTGTGCCAGTGGATAACAAAAGATACAGGTATGGTGACTTTAAGGCAAAAAACATATGATGCAAGCCATAGGGAGCTTGGCTATTGGAAGAAAACATTAACACTATATAAATTAGCAGAAGGTCGTGTTTAACTCTCCCTCAGATTCCTATTTTCATCCCCATGCATTTAAAAAAAAAAAATTGTGCCAAGTATGCAAAACCAACTAAAACTGCTGTTGAAGCTCTTTATACGTCTGCCTTACGTTGTGTATGTTCAGGTTTTGGCTTTCAGAGAGTGCAGTTCTAGTGCGGTCAGGAAGTGTTATCATGTTTTATTCCTCATCAGGTCAGTGGGAATCATCTCCTATTAACAAATACATATGAAAATGCACATTTTTCTAGCGTTAAATGGCATTAACATTAATAACATTAATAGTATTGACGTCTGTTTTAATGGTGTATAAGCTTTCTTGGTCATACTTCAAATTGATTATATAATTTAACTTAAAAGCTGTTTATCATTCAGATACTTGGCTGCTTAGATTCACAAAGGATAATGTTTCTAATTACGGTTTTTTAAAGAATTAATGGCATTATTGTCTGAGGAATAACGTGAGGAACAAAAGTAGTTGTTCTTCGAACATTTGAGAGTAGGAATTATGTGCTAAAACTCTCACTGTTTCGAGGGCAGTCATGTTTCGAGGCAGCTAGTTGGACTCTGCTGAAACCACTGGTCCTGTAGAAATGTTTGCAGGATTGGGCCCACAGCAGTTATTATTGTGAATTGTAGATGTTTTGTAGGTCTTGCTTTACAGATGCGAGCTTGTGCTCCATAGTAGCCAGGAGGGGCCTGGCCAAGTAGTTCAGGGGAGGCAGGATCAGGTCCTTACCAATTGCTGGTTTGATTGTTTCAACCCTATACTTAGTATAATGTAGGGAAGACCGCTGCAGATTTAATTGTAGAACTAGGAATATTTCAGACTAAGACTAAAAGCTTGGTTCTGCAGGAATGCTGCCTTGTTTCCTAAGCAAACACTGCCCTATGTTTTTTTGCATGTCCTTAGTCCTTTTCTCCTGTGGTGTAGAAGACATTTCTTAGGACCATTTAGATTTTGTGTTTTTCAGCAAGGTGCAGATACCAGTGCTGAGGAAGTCCAGTACATACAGTTAGGGGAGGCTTTTCTGACTGTACCATAGTGGAAAAAAGTGTTTCTTTCTTTGGACCAGGGCAGTGCAGCTCAAATGAAAGCCCTTTTCTTGCTTTGTGTTGCACGTGTGCATTTACTTAGCAATCTAAGCATATCATTCCTAGAAGGTCTGAGCAATTCCTTAATTCATAGAAAAAGGGAGGTAATTATTCCAAATGGAATAAAAATGTTAATATTTAAAATTAAAAAGAGTTACATGGAATATGAGTTGTTTAACCCTCATTTCATTTAAAAAAAAAACAGTTGTAATAAGCTGCATTGTCTGCCTAGTGTGATACGTGGTACCCAGATAACTGAAGTAACTGAACAAAAGTTGTATGAAGGGCAGCATTTTCTTAGTTAAATTTCTGTAATCATGTACTAGTACCACGCCTTTAACCTTCCCACTAAATATTAATGTTTCCCATGTTTTACTTGATTCCACTTTTCATTCTTTGCTGTGCAGCCTATGGTTTTTTTTTTTAATTGCTGACTGTTATTTTAACTTTGGCTGTTCGTGTACAAACTGTCATGCAGATGTTTAGATATGAAAGACACAACAGCAGTCACATAGGGAGCCTAGTCTTTAGCTGTCATAGCAGAGAGCAAAATTAAATGGAAATGAAGAAAATTACAGCTAGGTCTAGATTTCTAGCAAAATTGGACCTTGTTGTAAATACTTGGAAGCTGAAGCTGTTGCTCAAAGTATTTTATGTGTATTTATGACTTTATTTACTTTTGTAGGGAAAGCATGTATTTAGTACAAACCAACAAATATCAAATAAATGAAGAATGTTATAAACAGTTGATTGTGTGATCTGGGGTTGAGAAGTTCTCTCCAGGAGAGAATTTCACCACCATTCTAGATCTTAGTTTTAGACCTTGATAGGAATTGTACGGAGCAATGCACGTATTGGATCATTTTGTTTCCATTTCCAATTAAGTTGTTTGTCTTTTTCTAATAAGGAACTGAATTGTACAAACAAATTATTTGATAAAGTCTTTCTTGTTTTTATTAAAAAATACAGCTGAATTACTGGAATTTTACTATACTTGAAAAAAAAACCTTGAAGTTTTTAATCAGTGCTTTTTAAATTGCCCTGTGAAGTGTCTGCCTTCAAAATAAGTTTTCTACCAAAGCAGGCACTATTTTTATTAGAAAATGACTTTGTCAGCATCAGCCTATCAATTGAAATATGGGCTGTGTTTTTTCATTTTTAAGCCTTTCTGCAATACTCTTCAAGAAAATTAATACGGTCTTGCAGAAATAGCAAGAGCATAGTTTGACAAGGTTTCTTTATTTTTCCCAATCATAATGTTCTTTCCCTTCAATAGCTTTATTTATAGACTCTTACATTAGACTCATCATGTTAAATCTTCCAAATACGGAATTACTACTCAATTTGATAAATGAAGGACTAGATTCTTCGCTATTTGCTGATGCCTATTCAGAGCAGAGCCATAGCAATCAATGAACTGGCACCATCTTAAAGCTCAGTGTGGAGCCTAGTGTTAAGGCTGTTACTGATTTTAAGAAGACTAAGGTCAGATCAGAGTGTTGTTTCTAACCTTGCTGTTGCAGATACCAGAACCACGTTTTGAAACTAAAAAAATTACTTTTATTTATTGTCTTTTTGCATTTTGTTAGTTGATGGGTACTTGCTGTATGTAATGGGCCCTAATTTGTTAATACTGAATGGGTCTGATAAATTATTTGGGGTTTTGCGGTTATAGGTATTTGTTTTCTTTTTATAGGTATGTTTATCATAGCTCCAAGTGGATGGTGGCTGGTAATGCTGACTCCCCGGTACCGCCTCGTGTTTATATTCACCCTGATTCACCCGCCTCTGGGGAGACGTGGATGAGACAAGTGATCAGCTTCGACAAACTGAAGCTTACCAATAACGAGCTGGACGATCAAGGGCATGTGAGTACTTGGTCTTCTGCAGTATTATATGTAGGCACATTGCTCAGCCCTGGAAGACTCTGACGTTCAGCTTCGGGGTGCCAGAAATAGGCTTGACTTTTCAAAGCTGTTTTGGATCTTTACCGTCCAGATCTAAAATCTGCTTACTTTCTGCTCCGATAATTAACTGCTTATTAGAGCCTGCTGTTTTACTCCCCCCTCAAAACCAGAACTCCTTCTGCAAAATAAGACTTTACAAGGCTAAATTGCCTAATACGAAGGGGCAGAATTGCTCTCATGTTTTCCCACCGAGTGTGTTACTTGCAACTTCTGCTATGATCAAAAAGGACGCTTAAATTCACAAGTGGCTAGAAGAAACATTAATAGTGTGTAATAACTTCATGTGAATAAAAATACACTTAACTATTTTCTTAACCTAAACATTTGTGTGAAATCCCATGAGGTGTTAATAATTGCAGTCAAAAACGAACAACATGGGAGCTGGGTTTGCTCCGATAATGATTTATTACATACCTTATGAAGCAAGACCCTTTCACAGCTGAGGCTCATTACTTCTGAAAAAACTGGCGAAGACGTATGCAGTATGAGTGTTCTGTTTGCAAGTTCTAAATTGTTTAGTTATGACATTATCTAATGTGACAAAATGTGTTATGTTAATATTTCCTTTTCTCTTCAAAACTGTTGAAACATGACAGATGTAAGCCAGTATCTTTCCAGCAATCCCTAAAATAGTTTTACTTGACACCTTAGGAAATAATTAAAAAATGAGAATTGTTTTTAGTCAGGGTGAAGTCTTTAATTTTGCAAAATCCCATAACTAAATGGCAAATGTTGGCTTCCTTTCAGAAGGATCATCGAGTTCCAAGTGGTAGAGTTTTAAGATGTTGGAGGCTAGTTCTGAGACAGGATGTGGATTCCATTGTCCTTAGCGTAGCCCGATTTATTCACCAGGATACTTTCTGCTTCATGGAAGGGAGTGAAAGAAAATGTACCTGGCACAGAGTACAAAGATACTACATGTATCTTCCAGGATAGTTGTAACACTGTGACATTAAGCCAGGTATTTTATCAACACACAGTCCAAGTTTAAGTACAAGATTTTTTTCCCGTTTGTGTTTGCAAAGAGGATTAATGTGAGACGCCGGTCAAATTGTGCAGGAGCTACAACTTCTATGTTACAGAGGCAGGAATACAGAAAACTGGCTGGACTGAGCTAGCAAATGTGGTAACAAGGATAAAAAGCCTCCCTTTCCTATAATACTGTTCATAATTTTATTGCATTCTGCCTTAAAAAGAACGTGGGGGTATTCACGTCTCTTACGTTAGCGGGACTTTTCTTTAGGCTCCTAAGAAAGACGTTTTCTATTGCTCCTTTCCAGAACTACAGTTACGGGGTCTCATTTGGCAGTGTCCACTTGAGTTAAGGTTAGCCCACGTAGTTCCCTTCATTTCCCCAGCCTTCGTGTATTTGTGACTCTTCTTGGATGGGGGAGTTGCTTCCTCTGAGTCCTGAGTCTATCGTAAGGGCTTTAAAAAGTGAAGTGGATACGAATGGGTAAAATGTCGCTTTTCCAACGGAGAGCAGGCCAGCTGGATTTTGTACTCACTCATTTCAGAGGGGTGATACGTGGGTACTTTAGTCCACCCCTGCACTTGCAGTCGCAAACTGCCCTGTGATAAAATCTCAGCTATGTAGAGAATTGTATTGCCGTATTTTTCCATCCCAGATCTTAGCTTTGTTTTTATTCTGAACTGAAACCTGTGTAATGTACACAGCACGCCATTATTCATAATGTGGGGGGGTATAAATTTTCTGGTCTTTAGTTAAGTGTTTCGATTTGGAAACTAGTGAAGCAAAGCCCTAGTACAGTGATTTGAGACACATTGAACTGATTCAGAGCTATGGCAGCACCCCTCCTCCCCAAAATGGAAATTTTAGCATTAAAATAAAAGGACAAAAGAAGGATGACTGTAAAATAATTTCGTATTTCTCAAATCTGGGAAATTGCAAACATGTCATTCATAATTACCAGAAAAGGCAAAAGCAGAAAGCAGAAAAGTGTCTCTTCCAATGGGTACATTTTTTCTTTTAAAGCTATGGTAGTGTGGAATGCTGTATTGAAAAAGCTATGTAGCCTCTGAATGCCTCCAGCAATAATGGAAAACGAATAATCATATTTTGTGATGAATATAAAAACCAATTGTTTCTCATAAGCAGGAAGGAACCATTTTTCTCAAGAGGGTACCAGGGGAGGGACGGGGAATTGCAAGAGCTAGGGGTCAAGGCTGTACTGTCCCTCGAATACTTGTTTTTACATCAAGTGTTCTGACTCTCCCACTGCTGTATGGGAGATGGAGTATATTTTAGATGATTAGAAGGTTAGAGGTTTTTTCCCCTCCTTCTTGGGCAGAATGGCTCAGAGAAACTTTGGTGGGATCTCCACACTCTGCCATCGCTTCTCCGGTAGTTCAAGCAGTGTCGGGCTTTAGCTGTTGTTCTTTGGGCGTGCTTTCCGTGCTGACTGGTTCTGGGGCTTTAATTCTTCTCAAAATTGTTCCTTTTTTCTTCCTGTGCTCCTCAGAGGCGCAAGCTTTTGCAGAGTTTTTCTGTTAAAATCCCAGGGCTCGGTTTTGATCTTGCAGGTGTGCAGGTAGGGAGCTCACATGAGATCAACCCAGAGCCCTTTACCTATTCCAGAGTATTAATTCTCAGAATCAGTGAGAGAAGTGACCCACGTCCATGGGAGTGGGAACAGTATTTGCAAACAGATGCTAAGGTCGTATTCCTGTGCAGTATTTATATTGTGGTAGTAGTTCGCGGCAGCCAGCTCCCCTTGCATCGCGTTGGCCTGGGATTAGCTTCTTGTGAAAGGAGATCAGCCACCTCTAAGAAAACTTGCTTCGCTGCTCGAACGCTTTCCGGGCTTCTTGCTGCCTGCTGCTATTTTCATCAGTATTTTGAGTGGGAGTTTGTGATGATGTAACTTTATAGCGCTGTTCTGTGAAGACATTTTGAAGTACATTTGCACGTAGGACACTCTCTGATACATGGGTTCCACTTGCAGGCTGAGGAGATCAAGCAAAATTTGTAAGGATATGTTTTCCTTGTGTGTTTTTGATCTCAGAAGGGAGTCCCAGCGTGAATTCCGTACTTCGGAAAGATTGTGTGCTTATATAGGCATTAAGGCCCGATGGCGTCATTAAGACACATACTGTGGCATTTGTGTCTTTCTGAGTTGTGATGGTAAGGAAAAGTAAACCTGCATTTTGCAGTTGACACTGAGAAGTGCGTGGTCTGGGCACTCTTTGTTAATGCCTCTAATCCATCTCTCATCTGTGGAGTAAGTGCTGCATTGTAAACGCAGTCTCTCCCTCTGGCTGGTTAGAGCTGGCTGATTTTTCTATTTTGATGCAGTTTTTAATCTGAATTTCAGTAGAGGGGAAAAGTCAATATTTTTGATGCCATTTTCCATGCTTTTCAACTGAGTATTTTTTGATGCAGAGCAACATCTTTTAACTTTTAGTGAAAATGGGGCTGTTAGCGTGTTAATTGTTCCTTGGTGGTTGGTTCTTTTTTTTTTTCCCCATTTGAAAGTGGGGTGAGGCTGAAAGCAGAGGCAGACTGTTACTCTGCCCAGACTTGGCTCCAAGTAGCTAGCTCTGCTTACAGTCAATGGGTAGTTATATGTTCTTGTCACAATGAAAAGCTGGGAAACATCAGCATTTGCACTTGCAATTTTTGTCTTTGTGAAGAGGCATGGTCCTCAGTCCCACACACTTCCCTGACTGCAGAAAGCCTGAATGCGTGGGCTTTGCAGGGAGGATAAAGGAGGTTTTTTGGCAAAAAACAGTGGCAAGGTAAGGACCGTGCCAGTGGTGGGGAGGTGGCTGTGTAGTCTGTGCACCGCCGAGCTGCCGGAGGATTGGCATCTCCCCTGCAAAAGAGTATCGGGCCCTCGCTTATTCTGGCTGTGATGGTTGTGCCATGGTGGTGCCTGAGCTTGTGGTCAGCTCTGAGGCCTCATCATGGCAACATCTCTCAAAAGCCGTATTGCGAAGGGAATCCCAGCTTTGTGTATCTGCAGGTGCATTGGCCACCTTTGCTCTGCCAGGCTGTTGCCTTGCCCTGCTGCTTACCTGTGGGCTCCCTGCTGCGGCACCTTCCGTCTGATAACGATGTCTTGACAGCTGCTGTGGTCAAAGTGTAATTTTACCTTTGGTGGGAGAGGTTTATTCCCCCCCCCGAAGTGTTTTCGTCTTGCCCTTTTAGGGATTTATAGAGAGAGGCAGGCTCTTCAGTTGTGAGTTGAAAGTTATGCCAGTTGGTGTTTGGCATTTGGTGGGACTTCTTCGGGTTGGGGTTTTTTACTGTTGGCTTTGAAGGGTATGAAGGGAAAGTTGCTGCCTCTGCAGGTAAACTGTTAGATCCCGTTTGTGCTGTTAAAGGTGCAAGCGCTTAGCTTTCTCTTCACAGTAGCTTTAGGTGATGCTTAGATTAATAGAGCTATACGGTTTTTGGAGTGGGTGTTACATCTCCCTCTCCTTTTATGTCCTATCTTCATAGTGTTGCTCTTTAATTCACCAGGGCTCTGCAGTTATGTATTATTTTTTAGAATTCAGAGTCCTGATCATTAACAAAGATCCCATTGTACAAGGCACGGTACAAAATGCAGAAAAAAAAAATTCTTGCTATGGATTCGCTAATCGTCTAACAGTGTGTCAGCACAGGAAATTTCAGTATAGCACAGAGCCAAACCAGGTTGCTCTTAAGAGCTGACAAGGATCAGTTTAGCTGTAACAGCCACCCAGATAAGGAGTGGGAGGTGTTCATCTCCATGCTCCTGTGACTTCACTTGTTCTGATACATGAGCAGAACTATTTGTAGCTGCCTAGGTTATCATTGCGTACAGTCAAGTCTGCCGTGTAGGCAAGCGGTAGTTTGCACCGCAGAGCTGATGGGGTGAAATAATTGGGGTGGGAGCAGAATGTGGCATGCTCCGTGGCACCCAGGCAAATGGCAAGGCACAGAATAGCTTTGAACAGTGGAACGGAGCTTTTCTTGATCATTTTTTTCTGTTGCACCAGTACCTCCCCTGGCATCGCTGGCTGTTCACAAGAAAATAGGGTCGGGACTGTGCTGTCCTCTCTACATTTTCATTTTTTAGATCTTTGCCAGCAGAGAACTGAAAGGAGTGTTGTGAAAGAGAATACACATTTGCATGATAAAAATCTTGCTCTGAGCAAGATTTCAGAAACTGGGAAAAGGCTTCGTATGAGAGCATCCATAGGGCACTCCCTGAGCAAATTAATTGGAGCCTGTGATGTCATTGTCAAAACCTTACTTACAGCCTAATAAACTCCCTGATTATCCACTAACTTGGCTTATCCAAAACGGGGTCATGTCATCTGGCCAGGACCAAGTGTATTAAACTAGCCAAACTCTAGTTGATCCAAATGAATGTAATGTCCTCTATGTCATTTGGATGAATGAACTTCCATGGTGTCTGGCATAGGGGCTCTGTCGGGTGCCTGAGCACATGCACATTCTGAGGCTACTCAAGGAGCAGGAAATTAAAAAGTTGATTAGTGGTTCCACAGGCCAATAGCCATAGGACTATTTATTTATTGAGTTACTCATTTCTTAGGCCTTCCAACAATAATAGTTGAGCTTCCAATTATTTTTTTGTTGAAATCTTCTATTTTAGTAGTGGTTATCTGAAGTGGGGTAAAATAGAGGAAAAATTCTGTATTTTAAATCTCCTCTAAAATTTGGGAGCAATAGCAAGAGGTATTTTTGTGTTTAATTTTATGCACCATGAGTTCATATACCTCTCATTTATAATTTATTCTTAATTGAGGTTTTGTATGCTGAGAGGTGTTTGTGTATTGATATTCATTGTGTTATGAATCTAAGGTTATTAACACTTTAGAGTTTTGGATTTTGGTGTTACTTTACTCTAAGTCTCTGCTTCTTCAGAGTGTGAGAGTCTCAGCTTGTGTTCAAAACAAGGTATGTTTCCAGCCTTTGAGATATCAGGAAAAAAAATTGCTCCAAGCATATCCCGAAGGTTCCAAAAACAAAAGGCAAATGCTGCTGCCCTTAATCCTGTTAGATCAAATCCAGGCTCCAGTAGAAAAAAGTGACAAAACTTTCCTAATTCCAGTGGGACCAGGACTTCACTCCCTTTTTTTTTTTTCTTTTTTTTTTTTTTTTGAGTCAGTCTCAGTTGAGCCAGTCTCTGAATTTGGAGCTCCTCAGTGGTAATTTTTAAATGCTTAGGGTTGGCAATAACATAAATGCACAGGGATTAGACTACTGTAATAAGAACCTTCAGAGGTTAAAGAAAACATTTGATTTCCAGTAAGTGGCATGGTAAACACATACCGTAATCTGTTCCAAAAAGCTATTAGTCCTGAAACAGCAGGGTGTCCTTTCTAATAAATGTTATCTTTTTCCTTTCATGACTGCATAGATTATCCTTCACTCTATGCATAAATATCAGCCTCGTGTCCACGTCATCCGAAAAGACTGTGGAGATGATCTGTCCCCCGTCAAGCCTATCCCTTCAGGAGAAGGGGTGAAAGCCTTCTCCTTTCCAGAGACAGTTTTCACTACTGTCACAGCGTACCAAAATCAACAGGTAACTTGGGCTTTCTGCTTAGCACTTTACGGGCTTTTCAGAGTAGACCAGGGAAATGAGAGATAGGAGAAAAGCGGATACTTTTTATTATACCACTTATTAAAAAGCATTGTCTAAACCCTTTTTGTGTCATGAGTAGCTTTTACTAGTAGTATTGCAGCAGCGCCTGGAGGCTATAGCTGAGACTTCAGGGCATGTGGGCTAGATGCCGCATGTAAAAAGTTGTTCTTATTGTGGTGATCATACAGTCTAATTAGCATAGTTAATGTTGTCTTAATTATAAATACAGCATTGAAACACAAGGCAAAGAATAGTCTAATTTTTAAAGGTGTTTTTGTACCTTTAATTGTAGATACATGTCTAGATAGAATTTTTAAAGCACTTTTGTTCCTGACTCCAGTGATTTCAGAAATCCCAGGACCTTAACAGAGAAGCTGAGGTCTGAAGAAAGTTGCAGTCGTTTTCATTAACTGCATTCAGCGTATATTATTAACGGCAATTTATCTGGGTCCACACAGATTCAAAGTCAAAAGTAAACTGCAGGTTGTGTGACTCCAGTGTTTGGCTCTTATTACCACTTGCTTAAGTATTAACATACATAGTGACACCATAGTTAGTGTTGTGACATTTTGTTAATTCCACGTAAGTTACTGCAGCTATATTTTTGGAAATTACGTATGCCTTGCTATCTTTACAAAGAGAACAGCAGGAGGGCCGTGTAAATACTGAAATATAATTATTTCATACCTATCCCATTTATTTAAATAAATTACAAGTATTTTAGGGGGTGTGTGCTGTTGTTTTTATGGAGGATAATAGTCTAGAGATAATCTCTCTTTTCACATTTCCTTCTTGACCCATACAGAAATAAAATTTAATTTAAATTTTATTGCAGTTAGGCTGTATACTCTCTTAGGTGAAGAATGACATTCTTCAGAATTTTTCTCAGGATTTTTCTCAAGAATTCCAGCCTGCCATTTGGTAGCATTAAATACCTATTAGCTTCTCTGGGGATTTGCAAAAATAATGATCAGAAGGCTGGCCCTTATTTTGCTGTGTTTCAGGACAATCATCTTAAACCATACAAACATGAAGATGTTTCTACTCCACTGTCAGCTTAATTCTGTCAGGATAGTAATTTGATGTGTTGCTTAGCCAAATTGTCAGGTAATAATTTCTTCAATCATCTTCACAGATAACTCGTCTGAAGATTGATAGGAATCCATTCGCCAAAGGGTTTAGAGATTCGGGACGTAACAGGTAGGTGTTGGGGAAGGAGGTGGGCTTGTTACTGCTGACAGAATCAGTTTGTGAAGGCTGGTAGAGGGGAATACCTGTATTTACAGACAAATTAGTCTGGGGACTCAGACTCCCTGCTGCAGCACTTAGGTTTCCCAGTAATGTTCTCTGTGGTGGGCTCCTGTTCCTACTTCTCTAACTATCTAGGTCAAGAATGGGTTGGCACATGGCTTGACTCATGTACTCGGGTTTCCTTTCGGTGGAAGCGGCAGCATACCACGAAGGCTGCAAATGGAAATAATGCATACTCAGGTCTGTGATTTCAAGCTGCTCCTGAAATCTCTTCTTTCTCCTGGCTGGAGACACAAATTGCAGATGCCAGTGTCAAACTATAAGCCCAGGCTTTCTTGCACATAAGTGGCATTTAGTATGCATGAATGGCTCGTTGTTTTCTCTTAAAGGAGGAGAAACTAAGTTGCCTCTTACAGTAACCTTACCTTTAGTACACTTGCCTAGGAGGTGGGAGACCTGTGTTCAAGTGTCTCTTTAGCCTAAGGAGTTTTAAATCCACTTCCTAGGTGAGTGCCTTTTCCACTAGGCTATAGATGACCTTGAAACGAGCCTGGTTTCCACCTTTTCTGTTGAGGTTGGACTGATTAATTGCTTGTTCTCTCTTGATCCACAAATCTTTCAAAATAGCAATGGGGAATCTGACTAGTGCAAAGTGGAGACTTGGGTCTAGTCCCTGCTGCCAGTACTGATGACGTATTTTATCCAAAGACTGTTTAATGCAAAATACTTAAGCCTGTTATGAATTGTATGTTAAACCATTTCAGCTAAAAAAAGCAGCATTTAATTGTGGTGCATATTATACATAAGTTCCAGTGACCACATTGCGTTTGGTGTCTACAGCTGCTATATTTATGACCTAGCCTTGCAGAGAAGGGAGCAGGCTGTGTGCTGGTAGGAATGCTCAGAGAGTATCTTTTGGTAGCTGCTTTATTGAGCTTCTCTTTTAGCAGAGGCTACAGCATTAAAGCCTGTTTTGTGCTTCCGCCTGAGTGACATAAATGCTGAGACTGGACAGCAAATGAGAGTAGTTTTTAGAAGATGAACAATTATAGAAGGGGTGGGGTAGTTGTAAAGATTTACAGGAATTCATTGTAAGTATCTTTTCAGCTTGCACTCTGCATTTTCTGCTGTCTAAGATTTTTGTCTTCTAGCAAGAAACAAATTAAGTGAACAGTAACTTCCAGATAAATGCAGTGACTGAAGAAACAAAACATGCTGTGTGTACTTGGGGAAGAAAAGAGTAGCCATACATGCCTTATTTGACAGCTCTCCATAGGCAGTGTCTCTGCTATGCACGCTTTTTGCAGAGCTATAAAATAAGTACTAAGAAGTCTCCTAAGAAGTGTGAAACTCTGACTCCTCTGTAATTTCTGAGTTTAAGTGGAGCTAGAATTTTTTTGATAATGTTATATGAAACAAGAGAAGATGCCCTTGAAAATAGGAGGAAAGAATTGTTCAGACACCAGTTTTGAACTGGATTTAACGTGACAGGACAATCCTGGACATCCCCTACCTGAGGACGATGTAGGTGCAGTAAGAGTACTGTATCTGCAACCGTGCAAATCCAGTTGTAAGACTAGGCATATCCAGAGAGGTTTTTTGGTTTGGCTGCTAGGAGTAAGTTTGGTTCGGGCGTTAGAAAAAAAGCAGGATATTTTAATTGAAAGACAGTTACAGTTTATGGAAATGGATTAGGAGGCCAGTCCTGTAGGAAGGGCTAGCCTCTGTAAAATGTTTCAGAACTGGCTTTAGGTGAGGTATGGATGCTTTTAGTGTAACAAACACACTTGTTACAGAAGTGACTCTGCAAACTCTTGTCCATTGCAAATTGGTGTACTGAAGTCAGTGTTGCTGTCTTCTGTGATAGGCTCTGTGGTACTGCATAAGTGTGTTTGGGAATGCAGCTCAGGGTTTTAATTATTGAGGAAAATTTCTTTTTTTATTTAAATTACTTGTTTACTCAGTTGATTATTAATCTACTCTGTTGCTAAATATTGAAATTAAATGTTAAGCTTCTGTTATCTTCATTGTTCTGGCTGGTGTATTTATCAGCAAGGCATTTTAGTCTGCAACAAAAGTGTAAAAATATACTGTGGTACCATTGTATATCCAATTTTTCAATATTGCTTTAATTATTGCAGCTATCTCTACTCTGCACTGCTGCATGCAATAATTCTGTTTAATTAAAAATATTCCCTTTCAGGTCATTCCTGTTCAGTCCCACAGGCTATTTTATAGAAATCAGTAGCTTCACCTTTTAAAAGCATTCCCTGTGCATTTGCAAAGTGCAACAGAATTTATGTGCTGAGAATAGTTTCATTCTTCAGTTAGGCCTTAAGTTTGACCCTATAAAAACTTTTACTCAGGAAAGGACCAGAATTTCTCCCTTTAAATACTTCAGGAAAAACATAACTGTTTTGTTAAATAAACTTGGCCATTTGATAGCGCAAATTAGGGTGGTGATAAAATGTGGAAATTGTTCGAAGGCATCTTGTATAAATTATCGCCTTGGCTGCACTCCTCCAGGAGGCGGCTTTTATCTTCACTTTAACTAGAAATGAAAATTCACCATTACTGCAGAAAATGAAGGCTATCTTTTTAGTCCAGGTTCAGCTAATAAATACTTTATAAATGTTTCATGACATACATTTGTGATCCTGCTGGAAATGCAATGGGGAAGAAGCAATATCAGAAGAACATGTTGGTAGCTTCAAATTGGGCTATTTGCATAATTCGAGTTTACAGAGTGCCGCTGCTCAAAGGCAAGGCCACTTGTATTTGGTGTGTGCCTGATTCTGACACTTAACAGGCTTTTGGGGCCCAGCAGCCAAAAATAACAGCAAAATAATACCTCTGAGGTGCATTATTCTTAAAATTATGTCAGAAAACAAACGAGCCTTTACCTTCAGGAAATAGAGATTCTGCTGAATACTGTCTGCCGTGATTGTCTACCCAGTTATTTCTATTTTGTCATGACACTGTTGAAAGAAAATGACAGAAGATTTTTAGTTTCTAAAGGCATTTTTCTCAGCACATAACAACCAAAGCACAAACTGTTTTATACATTTTAGTAGCAAAAGAGCTGTACATGAATGCCTTGCTCATGTTGTGAGTGTGATTTTCCAACTCCATTGGTAATGACTGGGAATCCTGTTTTAATGGAAGTTATCAGTGGATCACCTTTATTCTAGGCAGAAATAAGAGATCATCCCTCTGGCAGTTAGAACAGTTGCTCTTAAGGAAATGTTATACTAGGAAAACATTTAACGTCATTTTAGCCAAGTATTCCCCCATCAAATAACCCTCCCAAAAAGGCCAAAACCATTGAAATAGAGAGCCAAACTCGTGGAATTGGGAAACTCTTTGCGTGCTGCCAGCCCAGTGGCTGCAGATCACAGTGATCTCATGGATAAGGATGTAAGGCTCTTTTCTAAAAAGCAAAATGAACTTCAAAAGAATCCTGAAATGTTACTACTTTGTATATGTTTCTGAGGTAAAGTATCCACAGACATGTGACAAAATACAGCTTTCTTTCACGACACCATGATGTTTTTGTTCTAAATAGAATGGGACTGGAAGCTCTGGTAGAGTCTTACGCCTTCTGGAGACCTTCGCTGAGGACACTTACATTTGAAGATATACCTGGGATACCCAAACAAGGTAACGATCGTCTTTGTGTTCTTTCAAAATAAAAGTGCATGAAGATAAAGATTCACCCATAGTGCTTTATGCAAGTCTAGGTAAGTGTGACTTGCAGAGAAAAAGCAACCAACCAACACCAGTGCAGGCCATCACCTCTCATCAGAGTTATTCTAAGTTAGAAAACTAATGCTAACTTAAGCACTGTGGCAATAAAAATGTTAGGTTGGAAAGATAAATCAGATCATATGTGGAGGAGAATGCTGGTTATTTAAGGATGGAATAACCTATTCTTTGGCATTATGCTCTGGTTAGATACACAAGGTAGAGATCATTTATAGACGACTTCCGTTGTACACATCCAAACTCCAATGTAGGAATTACTTGTGTGTTTAAGAGAAAAAAAAAAGGAATGAGAGAAGAAATGACCTCTTAAATAATGAATAAATAGTAGCAAGCTTAATTGGGTTTCTTCCTTGGAAAGCCTTCTTGATTCTTAAAGACCTAAAAATTGTTCAGTAAAAGTCCCAACAAACTTTATCTGCATCCTAGAGCTTGAAAGAATGGACCTCCTCTCCATTTTGCTTTTTCCTGCTCCCCAGTCCATAACCTCTTGGTTTCCGCTTTCCCATCATACAGGTAGTGCTGTGAGGGAGAGGGATATTTAAATGGCCTGTTTGGACAGAGAGGGGAGTCTCTGTACTCTTTTCTGAGTTCCTTTATTTCCAGAGTACCCCAATACATATAGAAAACCTCTCACCCTTTTCCCAACTAAATCAGGCATACTGCTCCTGATTCTTCACATTTCCTGCTACCAAATTTACAAACATCCTACCTGCTTTCTTGATAATGTATTGCAAAGTCATTAAGCGTCTTCAGAGCAAAAATCCAGAAGATACAGAAATACACAGAAATTACTTTTGTCAATTTCTCCTTAGCCCACTCCTTTGAGAAATCTTGAGCATCAGTGCTTGATGTGGGCAATTAAAAAGGAGTTTTTGTGCCAAGTCATAGATATGTTGGATGAGGGTTGGCAGAGTTTTGGGTGGGGCATAGGGGTGAGGGACAGTCCTCATAAAAAAGGCCTGGAAAGTGAAGTCAGCATCAGACGTGAAATACCTTGTCAGACTGTGTAAGACTGAAAGGCACCTCACTAGGAAGTTAATCCATCTAGGAGACAGACCAGCTGTATTGCCCTGTTTGTATGTAGCAGCACTGTTTGAGAGCAGGGGAACTGCTGCCATGAGCTGCCTGCTTCCTTTTCTTCTGTTGCCTGAGGTTAAGGAGCTTGTTGAAGTTACTGTTGATGTTCAGAGGATGGGAACTGGGATCCTTGCAAAATCTTTAGTCGTCTATACCTTGCACAGTAGGGTGGTTTAGAGACTTGCTGAAAGAACCCATTAGAAATTTGTCCTGGTTATTAATGCTGGAAGTGCCCATCTTCAGGTAGCGGAGGTGTTGACGTAGATTTGAAGAAAAATAAGTATGCCTTGCACCAGGTTTTCTAGAATGTGACAGTGTCTCATGGTGCTTTGAGCTTGTGGTGTCCTATCAACAGAGCAAGAAGCAGCAGTCAGAGTTCACTAATAATGTATTTTTCTTTTTACTAGCTTACCTATGAGGAAAACCTGTTAACTTATTGACATTGTGTATCTCTTTGCAGCATCAAGCTGCATTCACAAACAGGAGAGTCTTCCTTGTTAAGTGCCTTCCACCTGGGAGACGGTGAAAGGTGCAAATTAGTTTTTCTACGTTCATTTTTCAGGGAGATACAATCTCTAAGAAAAGGAAGTGTTTCTTGCAGCTGGGAAGCTTTCAGTCCTAAGAAAAGGCTTCACCTGTAGCAAGCAGTGCATTTTCAGGAGCATTCAGCACTGGTATTTGTCATGTAAAGAGTTCTGATATCAGTAAATGAACAGTTTGCAGTTTGCTGCAAACCTAAACCTCCACCTACCTGTTCCAGAAATGAAGCAGCCATGCACAGTACTCAGCCTACGCTTTTCCTGAAGTTATTCTGAATTTTTTTTTCTCAAGTTTTTTTGGTTTGAAGTTGGAAGGTTTTTTTCTGAAGTTTTATTCTGAAATTTTGTTCTGAAGTTGTGAACTTCCCTGAACCTGTTGAACTGTGGGAGCCTCTATCATTTGAGTTAAGGAGCCTATTCCTGACAGTCAGGCACAGATTGCTTCAAATGCACTTGGGTGTACCAAGAGCATTGACAACACAAAATTTGTCATTTTGAAGGAGGCTTCCTGTGATGTGGTACGCACTTGGCTACATCTTAGCTGCCATGCAATTTCCTTCCAGTGTCAAATAAAGAGTAGTTAACATTTTGGGCAGGAGCTCTAAGTATTGAGTGATGGTTGCGAAAGCATAACTTACGTTCTCTTTCTTGGTCAGGTTGTTTCTTTAAAAATATGCATGTGCCATACACACACACACCCACACAGCCGCTGCACACGTATGTACAATATTTTTTGAATAAATTTGCGTCGTGTTTCATTTCGAGGGTTGTTATAAAAGACGAAGGTCTCGATCTGTTGCCTAGGAAGTGAACCTTTCCCAATGTGCTTCTTACATTGTAATATTCTCTTCCAGGAAACACAGGTTCCTCTACTTTACTCCAGGGATCTGGCAGTGGAGTGCCATCTACCCACCCTCACCTTTTACCGGGTTCCCCTTGCTCATCTCCAGCCTTCCACCTCAGTCCCAACACTAGCCAGCTCTGTAGCCTTGCTCCAGCTGACTACACAGCTTGTGCCCGCTCAGGCTTGACCCTGAACAGATACAGCACTTCTTTGGCTGAAACCTACAACAGGCTCACAAACCAAACCAGTGAGACGTTTGCACCCCCGAGGACTCCCTCCTATGTCGGTGTGTCGAGTAGCACAACTGTGAATATGTCTATGAGTGGCAACGATGGGGATGCATTCAGCTGCCCGCAGACTGGCTTATCTATGCAGATTTCAGGGATGTCTCCACAGCTCCAGTACATCATGCCATCCCCATCCAGCAATGCCTTCACCACTAATCAAACCCACCAAGGCTCCTACAACACGTTCAGACTGCACAGCCCCTGTGCGCTCTATGGATATAACTTTTCCACATCCCCTAAACTGGCTGCCAGTCCTGAGAAAATCGTTTCTTCCCAAGGAAGTTTCTTGGGGTCCTCGCCAAGTGGAACCATGACGGATCGGCAGATGTTGCCCCCTGTGGAAGGAGTGCACTTACTTAGCAGTGGGGGGCAGCAGAATTTCTTTGACTCTAGGACCCTAGGAAGCTTAACACTCTCGTCTTCTCAAGTGTCTGCACATATGGTTTGATGAAGCCTTTAAGTAAAAGTACAGTATGTTTGGTGTCTACAATGTATTTCTTTTGGAATATGAAAGGACACTCGATGTAGCTTGTAAAGTGTGTGTATATATAATATGAGAGGAAGTTTCACTGAATTTTTGACTTGTTTGTGGCCAGATTATTCTCCTATTTTGAGTTACACAGTTTGCTGCAGCGCAGACTGCTTTAGTTTTCTGGTATAATACACTTAGTTGTATAACACGTTGGGACATATGCAACAAATTAAGACTTCCTCCCCTTTCCCCCTCCTCTGTTCTAACCCCTTTAAAGAATGAAATGACACTTGGAGTATTAAACAACACAAACAAGCCCACTTACATTTCCTATAGTACTAGCGAGTTTCTTTAAAACATTCATACAATGATAAGCTGATGCACCAAAGGCATTTTACAAGTTTCTTCTCTGTTATAAGGGATATGAAGGGTATTTGGACTTTTAAGCATTAAGCATCAAGCATCCAGCCTAAAATAGAAGTTTAGCTAATGGATTATTTACAAAGTAAACGGAAAGATTAGTTTGCCTTCTCATGATATGCTGTTTTTAGCTTATCAACGGCACGGCATTCTCACTAGGATTTTTTTTTTTTTTTTCAGCATTAGTCTAGTTTTATGATTAGGTATTTGAATACAAATAATGCATATTCAAACTGTGGTCATAGGAGTAATTTAAACGAACAGCAGAAGCAGTGGCATTCCTTGGTACAGAATGAACTTCAGGGTACTTATTTTTGTCAAAGGAAGGACTTGATGCATTTTTTTCTCCATAAATATTGCCTTTAAGACATTTACTGGACAGTAGGATATTCTAATGTATCTTTGTTTTTGTATCTTTACTTTTTTAAAGGAAAATGCAGGTTTGATTTAGAAAAAAAGCAAGCAGAATGAGAAATTCCATTATTGGTTTTACCCACTTGTGTGTGTGTGTTGTGGTTTGGGTTTGGGTTTGGTTGGTTTTTTTTAATAAGGGCAAAAAGTCCTACATCCTCAGTATTTCATAAATACATTTCCTGTATCAATTAGGCAGATGACCCAGTTTGCCCGTAAGTGTTTCTGGAAGGAGAACTTTGTCGTAGCTGCCTCCCTTCTGCTCTGTTTCTCAATCAGTTTTTACCCTGGAATTGGAGACATTCCCTTCCTTCCCAGTTCTGGTTTTAAATGGCACTTGTAAGAATGCAGATCACAACGTGCTCCTGACCAGGCTTCTCCAGAGTGACAAGGATACGGGGAGAGACTTGTCACGGTGAAATATCTGCCTTCATCTGCACCTGCACAGCCCCGGTGTGCATCACTCCTGCTGCGAAAGCTGCCTCTCAGCTGCCCGCTTGTTGGAGCTGAACCATGGAGGTTGTGGAACAGATTTTAATGCTTGAGAGAACAGGTCGTCTTCAACAGTACGCTAAGCCTCCTTTATACTGTGCAGGTGATGTAAAGGCATTATAAAGTGGGTGCAGTGTAGTTAAAAATGCTTTCCTGGTCAGCGTTAAAGGAGAATAAGGCCTTTCAGATTTTACATTATTCTCTGTTAGATTTTTTTGGTGAAGGTGGATTGTCGTGTTTCTCAGGAGTTCCTATGTCTCTTCTGGCAAACAGTGGGCTTAACCACTCCCACTTCAAGAAAGACTCATTGCAGCTAATATTTCTTTGGTGGGATGGAGATAATCCATGCAGAAACAGCCCTCTCGCTATCTCCTCTTACCATTTGGGAATAGAAGAGAAACCACAGCAGTCTTTAAGCCTGTGCTTGGAGAAGGCTTTATTTCTATTAGTTACATATTTGTTTATGTTAGAGAAGACACATATAAAGTTCTCATTCAAAGCTGAAAAGACAAGAGGATGCAATTGAGGAGATGTGGGTTTGCTTCTTTGCTGTCTCAAACTTCCCAAGTGACCTTGGGCAATTCACTCAGCCTCTCTGTATCTAATGTCTTTTATTCTGTAAAATGTGATAATAGCACTTCTCTGCCTCACAGGAAAGGGTGACAGTACATTGAAGATGATCTGATGTACTGTGGACAGTACATTACAGATGAATGGCTAGGTAGTGTTCATATATGAGGATAACAAAGAGCATTCGTGTACTTCAGATCTGTCGCTAGTTTTGGCATTGCAGTGTCCTTTGAGGCAGACCTCCTAGCAAAGACCTGCAGTGCTAAAAACACTATTCAAAAACCTCATGCTAACGATTTGTGAAATGGTTCTGAGATGTGTAGAAGATGGGCAAATTTTCAGTTATGTAAATTGTCATAGCTCTGTTGGTTTAAATTAACAGGAAACGTGTGTATAGTTACCTGTTCTAGCCAAAACTTTGAAATGTTGCAGTTAGACAAATCTTTAAATGGGAAGAATGGTACAATTAATCTGTACTTGAAAAAGGATAATGATCCATGTCATCTTAAGGGCTGTGACTAGGTAGAAATGTGGAAGAGCTAAATCGTGCATGTTCCTATAAGGGGAGAAAAAAGGGTTGTGCATGGATGTTCATGGAAGTGCTCCTGGCAAGAGTATGTACTTTATAGTCTGGGAATTTTTTAGAACTGGTCTCTTATTTTTCCTCAAATTATTCTTATCATATAACCACACAATATTGTTTGAAACATGTGTGCCTTAAAATTTGAATCATATTGTAAATACTTACTGGTGTGTCATTGTGAAAAGACTAGCTTTTTATCAATATAGTAAATGTTATATATGCATTATATCTATAATTATATATCTGTATTTTACAACAATGCCACAGAAAATATATTAAAGTGTGTATTCAAACACTTTTTACTACATTTGGAAAATTGAGGGGCTTGGGCCTTTTTTTTTTTCTCTACAACTTAGCAAGACCAAAGGAAGTGACTCTGAGGTAAGCTCTGAAATTCAAAGATGTAGTACAACAAGCTGCAACAATCTAACTAGTCCCCAATTCTTACATGGTTCAGTTTATCCATCTGCTGTTGAACCTCTCTGTTATTTGTATGCAAAGGTCACAACAGATGTTGGGTACAAGGAGATGCAGAGGCTGGTAGCAGAGCTGTAAGGTTTTTACGTGGGAAGAAGGGACTGAGCAGCTTGCTGGGCCGATTAGCCAGTGGTGGAGCCTTGCTGGTTCCTCATAGCCCGGCTCATCCCAGCTGCCCCATATCTGGGAGATCTGGGCCAGATCTGGGAATTTAGCACTTCCACGTGACCAGGTGCTCGAGTGGGAGCTCAGTACCCTGCATATTTTCTCTCTGTGCTCTTGCTTTGGTCGCTCTCTCTCTGTTCTGCTTATTCTAAATGCAAAAATCCGTTGATTCCTAAGGCACAATTGACAACCTCTGATCAGCTGGGTATACTGTTACTCAGCAATGAGCAACATTTCTCCCCCCAGAAATACTGTTATGCATAGTGGCCTTATTTCCTATTGTACTGCAATAAATGGTTCCATGTGATGTAGGGCACAGGGCCTGAAAATCTGATTACTTTAGAGACTAGGGTTTCATAGTCACTTAACACCAACATTGTTGCAAATGACCAGAATTAGTGCAAGAGAAGTAGGCACGAAATGCTTGATCATAAATATCAGGCCTTGAGAGAGAATGAAAGCTTCTGTTTTTAATAAGAGAAGAGCCGTTTTTGGAGTAGCACAATCAGACTCAGACAGCTCATTTCTGCTTCAACAGAGGACAAAAGGAGAAACTTTAAAATTGTGGACGGTGTTGGCATTAATGCTAGCAAGTCTATACTGTGAGCAGTTCAACAGGAGGAACTTAAATCATCATCAGAACTAGCTCACAGGTTCTGTGGATATATTCTTCCTGTAAAGGTGATGTATCTAATGAGTCTGTATAGAAATGTGTTTAAAAAGGCTGAAGAGTAGCTACTTCTAGAGGTTTATGTACCAACTTCACATGTGAAATTACTATTTTGTTGCACTCTTCAGAATATGCTGTCAAACTCTCATGACATCAATGTTTAAGTTTACTTCGAAGTCCAAGTCTTAATGTCAATAACTGCAATTTATCATAATGAGGTAATGGTTAGTGTTTGTGGGCTGGCTTTGCACTTCAGCTGACAAAATATATTGACTTGTCGGTTGAGCTCTTCATTAATGTGATCCTCAGATTCAATATTTCACCTTGTATTTGACACAAAGTTGTTGATATGTCAATTTAATATATGCAAAACTACAGGAAATGTTATGTTCCACCATATTCCTCAGTTTTCCAGTTAATTCAAAACACTGACATGCCAAGATGACACACACTTTAGGAAGTGATGACCTGCTTCATTAGTAAATAATATTTCTAGAGAATTCAGCTTGCTTTGAATGCTTTTTGTCAGTTCTGTTATGTTCATGCTCTGAAAAGGTGTTTGTTACCCAAAAAAGCAGAAGTCCTATGCAGTCACCGCTTACTGTTGCAAAGCAGTGTTGGCCATAGAACTAGCTCAGATAGATTGGTGCCCAGAGCCCAGACAAGAGTGGTTCCAGCAAATGAGAATCTGAATCTTCTGGACATACTTGGAGAAAGATACGGGCCTGAATTAGTGATAGTTTTATCTGTTGTTTATACTAAATCTGAATCTGCTTCATCTGAAAAGGCTAAAACTAAAGCTTTGTACCGTAATTTTCTAGGTCTTTCCTTGCCAAACATAACCTGCTGCAGGCTGGCTGAAAGCCTGTCCCTTCTTGAAATAGCGTCACTGTTCCAGTTGCTCCCCACCTTTAGGCTCTTGGCTTGCAGAAGTACCAGACAGGTTTGCAGGGGAAGAGGTCAGTACTTGCTCCACTGTTCGTTGTTGCCCTAAAGTACACTTCTATAGCAAAGACTCATTACCCACGGTGAAGTAAATAATCTGACTAAGTGTCAGCCGTGATGTTTGTCTCAATTTTAGAATTTAAAGTCCATAAAGTAAACATTTTTAAGAAGCATCAGTGAATCAGAACATCAGTATTGCTATCAGGAAAATCCAAATACTGTGGGCAAATAGAAACGCTCTCCTGAAATTTATTTGCCTGTCGCCTTCTGTTCAGAGGTTTATGACCCTTAAATAGTTAGTATCTTGCATCTTCCACTCCACCAGAGTGAACATTAAACCTCCA